AATTACGTCTATAAGTGATAAATGCACATGTAATTACGTCTATAAGTGATAAATGCACATTTAATTACGTCTATAGTGATAAATGCACATGTAATTACGTCTATAAGTGATAAATGCACATGTAATTACGTCTATAAGTGATAAATGCACATTTAATTACGTCTATAAGTGATAAATGCACATGTAATTACGTCTATAAGTGATAAATGCACATGTAATTACGTCTATAAGTGATAAATGCACATTTAATTACGTCTATGTATCAAATTTACATACTTCTGTTCTTCTCTACTTTGGTTGAATATATTCAATAGTAACCCTATCATCATACAATGTTGGGCACCAAATAAAACTTGTTTAGTAAACACTAATACAACATGAATTCACAATATACAACTCTTTATGTAAAGTAGACAGTTACATAGTCTGTATACATCTTTTAATGTATTTATATTACATTGACGTTTTGAAGCAGCGATCTTAAGTACGTTTATCAAATTAAAAACAATTGTACACTGGATTACACGAGTACTCAATTTCTGAAAATTAGAATCAATAAACTCAAACGTCTAAACGAAATAACATTACCATTTCCAATAAAGAGAAAAACATCGCTATAAGATCTCGATTTTTTCACATGCGGCGTCAGGACACTTGCGTGGGGAAGTGGGCGAAGGGCGGCAGTAACAAACACACAATTTTAAGACGGCCCCCTGTAGCACGAAACTTACTAACAGAGAAGGCCCACACAGGCGTGTCTTGACGCCGTATTTAAACTAATAACTTTGAGTTCGTAATGCGCCTACTAGTAAGAATATGTGTGAAACATTAATCATAATTTTAATACTTTGTAAACACTTACGTATTAACACATTACGTTTACTGTAACATAAGGGTTATGAAGTGAAACAATGTTCCTTCTAAAGTTTTAACTGCAAAACAATTTAACATAAACTGTTAGGCCTAGTATATATATATATATTCCTGTTGCACATTGCAACATTTGTTGTCTGAAGACCTAAAAAACGCTTGAGCCGATTTTCCGACTTTTATATAAGCAGTTGTTCCAGACACAACTCACACAATATTTACACACATCACGCATGCGTACAAGCGTTGTCTAAAAGTTTACACATTACACATTACAACGTTATATATAAAACTCGTGAGCACTAAACTTTTGCATAGTTTGTGATGTTGTGTCGAGCATAGCTGGGCTCGTCAGTATAAGCTTACAACACATTTGTTTGACAAGACGGTTGGGAAAACTGTACCTTAAGAGAACACATTCCTCGATTATCTGTTGAATATAAGGATTATGTGATTAACTGGTAGGAGGACAAGACACGGGACCAAGACGTTTAGATAGGAAGATTATCTGTTGAATATAAGGATTATGTTGTTAACTGGTGGGAGGACAAGACACGGTACCAAT